ACTGCTCCACACTGAGGGCTGTAGTAGCTCAGTGGTCTGTGCTTGTGCCAGGAAGGACATTCGATGAAAAAACAATTGGCAAGTCTTCGTGTGAGCTGGTTTGCTTTGCTGGTCTTTTTATTGCCATTCGCATTGCATGTGTACGTGAGGTGGAACGAAATTGTGTACACAGGGTCCCAGTTACATCAAACGATAGCAAAAATATAAAGTGTAAAAAGAAACAGTAAGTAAGGATCTAAGATATACACTAGATATATATAAACGAACGCCAAACGGTATGCTAAAAGATCTAAGCTATACGCTAGTCATTAATGCAAAACAATACACCGAACAACAGCAGCACGATTCTCTTAGGTTTGGTTTGGCTATAATTTACATGCTTAATCAGAGCCAGAGTCAGAGATTCTTTATTTGTCATTCGCACCTCATGTGGTACATGTGGTGGAGCGAAATTATATACACAGGGTCTCAGTTACGTCCAACAATAAAATGTATAAGAAAAACAGTAATAACATCTAAGATATGAACTAAGAAAAACATCAACTAAATAATAGCCCCATACTGACCACAAGATCAGGACGAGTGGTCAGGCCAAGAACAATTCTTGACTTATGATTGTAAAGGGTGTAGGCGGATCGCTGCCCTAAATTAAAAAAAAAAAAAGGATGTGAAATGATGGAATGTTTACATGAAATATTCACGTGAGATGACGTGAAATGATGTTTACATGAAAAATATGTGAATGTAAAATGATGTTTATGTGAAATGATATCAAAGTGAAACGATGTTTACGTAAAATGATGTTTACATGAAAATATGTGAAATGTGAATGTAAAATGATGTTTACAAGTCTGACATGTCGTTTACTGCAGCATACTTTTCATGTGACAATATATTCAACATGTGTACCAGTTCAATGAGGACATGTGGCATCAAAAGAAAAAAAAAATTTTTAAAGGGAGATGTTGTATTTACAATGTTGTATTGTAAACCGTCATAATTATTGTCCTCATGGGCTTGCCATATTGTAGACAGGATATGACGTAAGTATACAGTGTACATGTTACGGGCATGCAATAAACAGACCTGGGCTCATGAAGCGTGTCGATTGTCTTTATTTAGACAAATAATGCAAGCGGAGTCAAGATCGAAGCCCCAAAACTAACATAAACTGGGATTTATTCAAAGCATGCAGCAAAAATACAGAAACAAGGTGCCAAAAGTGAAAAAGAAATAAATCTACAGCAGCGTGGTCCTATTGGCAGAGTGGTTCTGAGGACAGTGAGGTTCTCTTAACAACATGGTCCAGTTAGCAGCATGATGCTGTTAGCAATGAAGTTTCTCTTATGCCCCTTTTCCACCACTAATACTCAGCCCCAACTCTACTCAGCCCTCCACGGAAAGATCCCTATTTCATCAGGACTTTTTAGCTGATTCGAGGCTGATTCAGACCCTTTTTTTGACCCTGCTTCTCTGGTGGGACCGTTCGAGCTGAGTCGGGACATAAATGTGACGTCAGAACACTGTCGGTCACTGATTGGTATGGGGGAGGACTGGAGTCACTGGATCTCAGAAGCTCTTCACCAATCCGCCATTTGCAATTTCTCAGAATGCGGAGCAGCGACTGGATCTAGTTTTACGATTTTAAAAACAATAATGATGACACCGTGTTTAATGCTGAAGTCCAGGCGTTTTTTGTGTTTAGTGACCGATGACAAAATTCGAGCGAGCTAGTCACCGCGGAGATCATACGAGCTGCCAACCCATTGAAGCACGCGAGGCCGGGGCTCTGGGTCCGACCTCACGTGCTCACAAAGGCCGGATTCTGAGCCCTGGCAGGCGGGAGGACAAGGACAGAGGATGAAAACGTTTTTTGTTTTTTTTTACATTTTATGTATTAAAAAATGTTTTTTTTTAATCAGCAAAGAATAAAAATAATTAAACCATGCCAGCTTTATCATGAAATCCTGTTTTCACTTTAACTTTATTAAATAATCTGTTAATTAAAGTTAACTCAGCTGAAAAATCGTTAAAAAAAAAAAACTAAATTATTGGATCTCTCAGGAATATTTCCCTCAAATATGTTTAAACAAGAGCTACAGCCTTTAGTTAAACTTTATTCTAACCCACAGATGTACAAATCACAAAACAAGAATTACACTTTAAATCACTGAAATAAAATAATCTGTATACAAGAAACAAAACCACATATCTAAATTGAACAATAAAAGTAGATACAATAAATGCAAATACATAAAATGATGAAGAAAAATATATAATTTTACACATATATGCTTTTGTAGACTCTGATTCATCAGATTTAATTCATTTCAGTTTATTTATATAGCGCCAAGTCACAACAGAAGTTGTCTCGGGTCACTGAACAGAAATATTCATATAAAATAAGTTAAAAGAAAAATTAATATTTAAAAATAATAATTTAAAATTATTTATCTGAGGAGCAGACTGCTTTGAGTTTAACTCATCGCAGAACTCTCACTCTTAATGGTGAACTAAGTTCATTAAAAGTTCAGGATTTTGGGTTCTGGACACGCCTACAGAACCGGTCCAGAAGTACGGTGGAAATCGTACGTGTAAAGAGCTGATCGGAGCAATGCTGAGCAGAGTTGGGGCTGAGTAATGGGGTGGATAAGGGGCATTAGCAACATGGTCCCATTGGCACCATCATACTGTTAGCGGTGTGGTTTGGTAAGCAGCATTAGCAAGTCTTGTTAGCAGGTTCAGTCAGCAGCATGATGATAATAAAGACTGCCTCCCAAACTGCCCTCCAGAACTGTGTCCAACAGACGGAGAACATCCAAGGTTTCCCCACGGAACCCCAATGGGTCCATAGAGTTCGGTCCATGCAGGCAGGTGAATGATCTTGTTAGCAGCATGAGCAGGTGTAGTTAGCAGCTTGATGGTAATAATGACTGCAGCAGCTGCCCTCCCAGACTGTCCTCCAAGACTGGGTCCGGCAGACGGAGGACATCCAAAGTTGAACTGAACAGGCGGGTAGAGTTCGGTCCATGCAGGCAGATGAAGGCTCATGGAGACAGCTGCCACAACAGGCCTGAGCCTGAGGTTGGAAGGACTGAACCACGATGGCGCAATGTCAAGGCAGCAACACAGAAAACTCCACAAGTGTAGCGCAGTCATATTCGTACTGTGGATATGCATTGTTGGCGCAAAAAAAAAAAAAGGTAAAACAAAAACAACAGGAATAAAAGATTAAGTTCACTGGGAGCCTATGAAGCTGCAGCTAGGTTGAGTGCAGCCATTTTGAATAATATATATATACATCCATCCACAATCTTTTGCTTGTTGCAAAGTTGAGTCACGGGGGTAACAGCTTGAGTTGACAGACATCTCAGACATCTCTTTTCACAGCCACCCCTTCTAGTTCTTCTGGGAGGACTCCAAGATGTTCCCAGGCCAACCGAGAGACATTGTCTCTCCATCGTGTCCTGGGTCTTCCCTGGGGTCTTCTCCCACTTGGATATGTACCAAGCATCTACCTAAGGAGGTGCCCAGGAAGCATCTTAACCAGATGCCTGAACCACCTTAACTGTCCATCCATCTATCCATCCATTTTCTTCCGCTTATCTGGGGTCGGGTCGCGGGGGTAGCAGCTTAAGTAGGGAGGCCCAGACTTCCCTCTCCCCAGCCACTTTCTCCAGCTCCTCTGGGGGAATCCCAAGGTGTTCCCAGGCCAGCCAAGCAACATAGTCCCTCCAGCGTGTCCTGGGTCTTCCTCTGGGTCTCCTCGTGGTGGGACGTGTCTGAAACACCTCATCGGGGAGGCGTCCAGGAGGCATCCTAACCAGATGCCCGAGCCACCTCAACAGGCTCCTCTCGAAGTGGAGAAGCAGCGGCTCTAGTCTGAGTCCCTCCCGGATGATCGAGCTTCTCACCCTATCTTTAAGGGAGAGCCCAGACACCCTGCGGAGAAAACTCATTTTGGCCGCTTGTATCCGAGATCTCGTTCTTTCAGTCACAACCCAAAGCTCCTGACCATAGATGAGGGTAGGAACGTAGATTGATCAGTAAATTGAGAGCGTTGCCTTTTGACTCAGCTCTCTCTTCACCAGGACAGACCTGTACAGCACCTGCTTCACTGCAGATGCTGCACCTATCCGCCTATCGATCTCACGCTCCATTTTTCCCTCATTTGTGAGCAAGACCCCAAGATACTTGAACTCCTCCACTTGGGGCAGGACCTCCTCCCTGACCCGGAGAGGGCAATCTACCTTTTTCCTGCTCAAAACCATGGCCTCGGATTTGGAGGAACTGATCTTCATCCCGGCTGTGTCGCACTTGGCTGCGAACCACTCCAGCAAAAGCTGTAGATCACGATTTGATGAAGCCAATAGGACCACATCATCTGCAAAAAGCAGAGATGCGATCCTAAGGCCACCAAAACGGATCCCCTCAACACCTTCGCTGCGCCTAGAAATTCTGTCCATAAAAGTTATGAAAAGAATCTGTGACAAAGGGCAACCTTGGCGGAGTCCAACTCTCACCGGGAACAAGCCCGACTTACTGCTGGCAATGCGGACCAGGCTCTGACACCGGTCATACAGGGATCTAACAGCTCGTATCAAAGGGCCCGGTACCCCATACTCCCAGAGTACCCCCCACAGGGTTCCCCGAAGAACGCAGTCAAACGCCTTCTCCAAGTCCACATAGCACATGTAGATATATATATATATATATATATATATATATATATGTGTGTGTGTGTGTGTGTGTGTGTGTGTATGTATGTATACAGAAGTAGCATCCCTTAATTATCACTTTAATCCTGTAAACACTAAACAGAGTAGTCTGAGAGTAATTGAAGAAGGAAAACAGTGATATTATATAGAGATATAAGTTGCTTGTAAGAATAAAAAACAATGGAGGAAGGCGGAGTTGGTCGAAGCTGCGGCCACTCAGCATCTTGTTCCTCTGGAGGAGGAGAGGAAAACATCTGCTGAGGAGAGTTTAACCTCACACACAGCAAGTGTGCGCTCTGCTTTACAGGAGGAACAACACACGCGTGCGCTGCCTGCATACAGACCAAGCATTTGGTCAACAACCGGAGAAAGACGAAGGAGCTGAGCCATGTTTGGCATGATTAAAAATTCACTCTTCGGAACCTCTGAGGAGACCGAGTATAAACTGCTGAGCACTGAGACAAAGGTAAGCAAAAATGCTCTTTTGTATTGCTTCTAATTTATGCCTTTTTAAATATTTTTCATTTATTTATTTACTTTTATGGAGTTTTACACACAGAAATTCTGTTTTCCATTCATCAAGTTCCTCAAGCAATGAGTTTTCTTTAAAATTTAAATTTTAAAGAGCAGTTTTAGCGCATCCCTGTGACGATCCTAAAGTCTGATTTAATCATTAAAAAAATTAAAATGCTTGTGACCTGTAAGGATGACCGCTGACCCATAAAGTGGTGTAGGGGTGTGGGGTGGGATCCGAGATGGATAGAGTAGCCTGAGGTCCTGTGCCAATCAACAAGGCAGAAGTGAATAAAGATGAGAATAAATGGGGGGAGGGGGCTTTAATACAGCAGGCTAGAAAGACTACATGTTCCAGATTATATTCAGTCATGCATTCATTTTGACACTATAGGCATGTGTGTGTGTGTCTGTGTGTACTACAATACAGACAACTGATGTTGGAAATGTGGTGAGACATGTTCAGTATATTCCAATCCCCTTTACTATGAAGCCTTTAGTGTGTGTTGTCTTATTTGTGCTTTACTTTCTAAGAATTTCAGTAACTGCTGCATGTTGTTGAACAAAGTGTAGCCCGTTTACGGTGGTCTGTGGGCTGCTGGAAATGTCAATGTGTCTGTGTGTTATTGTGTTTCAAAGTGTCTTTATGGGTTTATCTCCTGAACAAATGATGGCTTTTGAGAGGGGGATCAAGGGTGGACAAGACAGGATTTCCGGTACAAGCAGAGAATGATCCAAACTGACGCAAACACACATTCACGCTGACAGACAGGTCTGTTCTGACGCAGACACATCTACTGAAGGAAACCTAAAAATCCCATTAAAGCCAGCGGTAAACTGTACACAATAGCTGTTTACACATTCTAAAAGTGATTCACTGCAAAGCAGGTAAACATTTTTTTGCTGTAACAGGAATTCAAAGAGCCAGTTAGTTGGTTACCGATCCAGAATGATGCCACCTCGAAGAAAAAAATATTTTAAGCTCAACACAGGTTTATCAAATCTCTGGACTTGACTGATGTTTTAAAAGCAAACCCTGACATCAGAGCTGGTTATGTGATCCACGGAGCACCTGCTTGACTCTGACACCCAACACTTTTAATTAAAACGGATACAAAATACATCTGAGCAGCCTGGGAGGATGTAGGCACATTCTTTTACACAGCCCAACGGGTGACTTCTTTAAAATGCCTTTTCAACGAGTGAAGAATATTATGTTAAACTGAAGTGACAAGGAATTTAAACGATTCCTTTGCTTTGTTTTTAATGTGTTTGTGTAGTTTGTTCTGGCACCGACTAATTACTGCACTGGTCCGCCTAGACACACATGACAAATTAATTGCACTCTTTAGCTCAAGTCAAGCTCGGCTTCTTGTCAACTATACAATTTTAATGTTGGCCCCAATGACAAGCCATACAGGGGGAGAAACAACATAATTACAAAGCAGGAGCCGGTGTACCTGTCACAAGCTGCTGCTTCGTGATCATTTGTTGTTGTCTTGGAAGTGTTTGAGAGTAAATGTGGCTGCAGGGTGGGATTTAAAAACCTCTTTGCAGATTTTTCAAAACCTTGGTGCTACGGTAAGTTTACATCCAGAGCAAAAGTTTGACAAATCTTATAAGATGTTCATTGTAAGCTTGACCACAAATTTTGTTTTTAGCACCATTAGATTTGAAAGAGGACCAAAAACTAAAAACTTTATTTGCAAGACAAAATCCCATTTTTTACAAGATACTAAATTATAGCAGCCTGCTGTTTACGCATGTATGTATGTATGTTTGTATATATATATATAGGCATATATTGTCAGGGTTTTCGAGGCAGATCAGAACAGGAGAACCCAGTTGCGCAGGCAGGACTCAAGAGGCAGATGTATAAAATAAAATACTTTTAATAATAATAATAATAATAAATCAAAAGGCTGACATGGCAGCAAAACTTACATGGACTCAAGAACAGGATCACACAGGCAAGACAGGACAGGCAATACCCAACGACGAACCGACAAAGGAACAACACAGGACAGGAGGCTTATATACAAGGACAAGACAAGACGTGATTACAACAGCTGTGACGAGACAAAGGTGACACCAATTAAACTGACGAGAAAACAGACACAAACAGAAACAGCAAATAGTACCATCCTTACATATATAATATATATATATATATATATATATATATATATATATA